TGAAGTAGAATAATATTTAACAAGGTCCCTGAAAAGGATCTTAGGGAGATTGCCTGTACACTGAAGGCAATCCTGGGATTCACATTGATTGGAAAACATGGGTCATGTGGTTATACACATAGTTCAATCTTTGTGGTTTGGGACAGAATTTACTCTAAACCACTCAGATTATACTGATAGTTCAGACCTTCTACAGGTCTGAGAGTGATTGATCACTGTGTTGTCTAGCACACCTGGAGCCAAGAGGGAAGCTTCCCCTACTCAGAAGGAGAGTGAGACAGGGATGGTTCTCAAATGAACTTAAGGATCCTCCCTCAAGGAAACTGGGGACGGATGTTTGGCAAGCAAACCAAGATAACATTGTTAACTAAATATGAAAAATTTAAGTCAGAAAAGAGTTCTTCAACGTTTCATTCAGAGGCAGTCTGTGAGGGGAGGTTGAAACTTGAGTTGGCTTGAATTTACAAAGATGAAGGGGAGGAAGTGGAAAGGGAGTGTAGGTTTCCTTGTATTTATTAAATGTGGCCACCTCTAGAATCTAAGCTCCATGAAAACAGGTAAAAAGTCTATTTGTTTTTTGGAAGAGGGTTGTCTTGATATCACTCCAGTGCCTGGCACATAGGGGGCAATAAATAAACTCCAAAGTCTGGCATATAGTAGTAATAAATACACATCTGTTAAATTAAAAAAACAAAAACAAAAAATACAAAAACCCAAGAGATAATTTGTCACGCATTCCTTGTCTTGTAAGTGAGGAATTAAGATGTGTTGAGCATGTACTAATAAGGAGTTCTGGTGACATCGTAGGGAAAGCACTGGACTGCTAAGAGGTGGACAGTTCAAGTCCACTAGCCTCTCCATAGGAGAAAGATGTGACTTTCTGCTTGCTTAACGATTTACAGCATCAAAGGTTCACTATGAGTTAGAATCGACACGATGGCAGTGGGGAGCATGCACTATTCTCAGACAATATACTAGGCACTCTAATGACAAGCCCATTTCATTCTCACAACAATCTACCTAAATATGTGTTATTGTATCTATTTTGTCTAAGAAAAATAGCTGTTGGGGTTTGAGTGGTCTGCACAACAAAACTAGAGAACACAAATTAATTAACGGGAAAATTGTTGTTGTTAAGTAGCATCACATCAGTCCCGACACATAGCTACCCTGTATGGAATTTACGAAGAGCAACTGGTAGGTTTGAACTGCTGACCATGTGGCTAGCCACAAACTGGGAGAATGGCAATTCCCCTGTGAATAAGACTCCAATTGCTGTGGATCATAGAGGAGAAGTAACGGAGTCCGAGCCCCAAGGGAAAAACACAGTGAAGTCTTCTTTGCCCCTCCCTGTGTTAAAAACATAGACATAAACACTAAACACAACACCATGACTTGTGACAAATATGGTTTCCTCTGCCAGCAGGCTTCAGTTCCCTAATTAGAAACAAACAGTTGCCTGCAAGCCAGTGTGCAGAACACACGTGCAGATTTATGCCAGAAACTTAGGGGTTTTTTCCCCCCTCTTCAAGGCCTGATACTGAAGGTAAACCCAACGAGGTTCTTTGCAGGTACATAAGGCAGAATTCACTCTCACCGCTCATATAAAATCAACAGCACCTCTCCACAAAAGAAGAGTCATCCAGAGCTAATGCATTTACGGTAACAATCACTACCCCCACAGTAGGTTGCCCAGCAGCAAGAGTTCCCTCAAAACTGGGGACATTACAACCCCCTTCTCTGTATCACTCACCTCCTTCCAACTCTCCTTTTCATGGATTCTGAGCTGTTGGGTTCTACAGCCATAGTCAAAAGTATCTAAAGCCAAGCCACAGAGCCACGGTGTCTGTCAGTGGTGTTCCCAAACCGCAGAGGAGGCTCCAGCTCTGGGTAGATTCACTCGCTGGGTCTGTTTGATAACATAAGGGGAGACATCCGCTCAGTGTCCTTTGCCAATATGAAAGCATCTCACCCATCAGTGTGACAAGTAAAATGCTGGAATGGAGCCAGGGAACAAAAGGGAAGAAATGTGGATTCTTACCAATGTAGTTGATACCATTACTTTAAGGGTAGCAGATGATGAAAGGGAAAAACAAGCTGAGAGTCAGTGCCCTGCATTAAAACCCTTGGACGCTTCCTTGACTGAGTCACAGTGAGCATTTTGTTTTGAAAGTGTGTCTATTTTCTTTTTTTCCCCTCAAGCTGTAGGATGGTTACATACTCAACCAGTCAAGGGGACTGCTCTAAATAACAGGATTTATTTTTTAAGGCTGTGGATCAAAAAAGAAGCTTGAATCTCCCCACCCCCTTTACTATTTATAGCTAAAATGTGCTCCTTCCCCCCCCCCCCCAACCCGTTTCGTATTGATTTTGAGAATTGACTGATGTTTCTTCCTCTGGTAATCCTGTAGATGCCTGAGGTGGGCTGTAATTACTGGAAAGCAGAGAAGAATGCTCTAAGAAAACACTTCTTAAGGTGCTAAGAGTTGATCGAGAACAAATACACATACTATAAGCTGATTCAGGAATCACATTTTCCTCTGTCTCTTGTTCTTCTATCTGGGGACCCTTTATGACCTATAATGTCTCTAACAAGCTTTGTTACCTAGAGGCCCCTTATACATTTTTCTACCAATAGATGGCATCCAAATTCTTCTAGCTTTTTCCTTCGTTGCATTTTTGAAACCATAGGCAGAGGGTATTTTCTTCTGAGACTTTACAGTTACCAGGGGTAATGTTTTAAAGGCCACTAAATAAGCTCTACGATTTCAGAGCAGCTTATTCTTTTTATCCATTAATTAGGTCTCTCAGTTACTTCTTGGAGCCTGGGTTTCCTCATTGTGAAAGGATATTTTACATGAATTCCAGCTCTGAGATTCTGCTTTTCAGCTTCATAATGTCTGCCCAAATGAGATAAACCCATTAGGACTCTATCATTGGGGACGAGGAATGTGAGCATCTAACTATTCTTCTGCTCCATAGACTGCTAGGGGTGGGGAGGTGTTGTTTTGTTTTGTTTTAGCATGTGTGTATTTGTTTGTTTTTCCTTTTTATTTTTCTCAGCCATGCCTGCAGACAGGCCATGTTTGGTCCTTCACCTCTCAGTCACGGACGGCTTGGCTTGTGCCCTCCTTCAGCAATGTCACAAAACTCTTTTAAACGTGTTCATTTTATTATGAGAAAAATAAACCCTCTAATTGAGTCAAGACTCAATTTTCAACTTTTTGTTGTTATTGTTGGTAAGTGTCATCGAGTTGGTTCTGACTCATAGCAATCCAATATAGGATTTCCTTGGAGCAGCTGGTGAGTTTGGACGGCCAACCTTGTGGTCCAGTGCTTTATCCCACACTATTCCTAACTTGTTTACCTTCAGAAAGTTTCCTAGACAATTTTCAGTGAATGTCTTTGGATGTGTAGCTTTCTTTCCTGTTTACTTAATTTTGAATAGAGTTGAGGACAAGACCCTGAAAAAAAGAAATAAAAAATATACAGAAAGAGATAAACCAAGAAAGGCCAAAGATGTAGAGTATAGTACATTAATGAAGCCCAAAATGTGGTGCTGCAGGATAATGTGCTGGACCACAAGGTCAGTTTGAACCCCAAGGTCAGAGGTTCAAACTCACCAGGTGATCCAAGGAAACCCTATACTGGGTCACAGTGAGTTGGAACTGACTCAATGACACTTAACAACAACAACAACATTTTGTAGCTGGTTAAAAAGTAGTCCTTCATTTTCTTAGAGAAGAAGTTGGTAGATGCAGAAAGCAAAAGAAAACAATCTTTGAGCCTTTACTTTTAAAAACTTGGCTGAATTATTTAACAAACATTATCATATCTGACTCTCATGACAACCCAATAAAGTAGATAGATAATTGTATCTCTTTTAGTTCTACAGATAATACACTTAGGCTCAGGAGGATATGTTATCAAAATTCATACAGCTAGTAGTGTTTCAAACCCACATCTGTTTGGATTTTGCCACTACTTCCTAGTAAGACTCCATTGATGAATGTCACCAAACTCTGCTCTTTACCTGCTTATTTCAAGGCTCTCATTTTATCACCTGTGCCACTTTTCTTCACAAACTCAACTTTTCTCCCAGAGAAAAGATAGATGACATCTTCAGGAACTTTAAAAAGCTGACAATCATCAGAAAGACCAGCCTTCCTCGACAAATTTGGAAACCTTCAGATAGTTTATTTCCTTATGGTTACAATGTTGGCCTCATGACATCCTTACTGGGGTCTGGCATATGAGCAGAGGACAAATTGGTGGCTCATTCCCAAATATGGCACAGAATGCTGAAGTTGGGGAAATAGTTTAAATTCAAACTGAAAGGAGATTGCTGTTGCTTTTCAAAGTCACAGAAGAAAACAAGTTAATAACAACAACGACAAGTTTATAATTTTTTATTCATAAAGTAATTCTAAGACTACAAGAAAATTATATAAAGGGAGCATAGAAATCTAAAATAGGAAATGAAAGAAAGGAATACCAGTGCAGAACTTAAAATCACATTCTGCAAAGGTAGCAGAGGTGGTAAAGAAAATAGACAGCAGAGTCACAGAGAGCAATGTATTGATGTTTGTTCTGGTTATAAATATCATTATGGCAGGCCTGCGAGTTCTCCAGAGTAGATAGGGTTTTCATGACTTTAACTTTTATGAAAGCAAATTACCAGGTCTTTCTTCTGGAGCACTGCTTGGTGGTGGTGGTGGTGGTGGTGGTGGTTGTAGACCACCGAGTCAGTTAGGACTCATGGCCGCTTTATAGAGAGTATCGAAGACTGTAAATCTTTACAGGAGCAAAAAGCCTCATCTTTTTCTCTCAAAGACAAGTCGATTCTAACTGCTGACCTTGCGGTTACCAGCCCAGCTGGTAATCCACTACACTACAAGGGTTCCTACAATACCACTCCTTAGTGGTTTCAAACCACCAACTTTTAGATTAGTGGTCAAGCACACACTGTTTGGGTCACCTTGTTGACCTTGAAATCAAAGCAGCAGGTTTTGGTTATCATTATGAAGGCATTAAAATGAATTATGGAATATTTATTAGACAAGCAATAAATATAATAAATGCCTGTTCTAGAAGTGTTTATATTATCATTTAAGGGAAACTTAAGGTCAGCAGTTCAAAACTACCAGCTGTTCCACGGGAGAAAGATGAGGCTTCCTACTCCTGTAAAGATTTACAGCCTCGAAAACCCTGTACAGGATCTCTATGAGTTGGAACCAACTCCACGGAACATAACCACCACCACCACCACCCCCGAAAACTAATTATCTTGAAAATATAGGACAATTCACACACTTTCTCCAAAATCCACAGTCACTACATTGACTATCTTAAGATTACCATTTTGCTAACAAGAAGAAAAGAGTCCTACTCTAAAAGACGTACAGCACAAGAGTTCTGTAGATGTCACCCTCGATCCCATTTTTTCATCCTTTCACTTTGAACTTCACCTTGGAGAAGGAGGTACTCCTAGTCACTATTGCTTTACCTCAGTCACCTAATGCAACAGAGAGAAACTTAGAGAGAAACTACAAGTCTCATCCATACTTCTTCCTGGTTACTATCGATATCTGTGGCATTGCCCAGCAGTGTATCCATGCAAAAACACAAAAGAACCAACAGGCAAAGGTGTAGGGTATGGCACATAAACGAAGCCCAAAATGTGGCAAGCATAAACAATTTCAACCCAATAAAGCAATTGCATAAATGAGGTCTCTCTATGAGCTGATGGAAATGAAGAGGGACAAAACTTATATGTTTCTAGAATAATCAGGGTAGATCTTGGGGATCAGGTAATACGGGAGGGTTACCTACAGAAGACCTATAGAAGTTGACCAGGCAGTTAATAGCAAAAGATATTTTAGCCAAGGAAACAACATACACTAAGTCAGGAGACTTGGCATGATTAAGGAACCTCAAGTAATTGAGTAAATTTTTATACTTGCAATGTAAAGATCAGGGAGTAAAGAGTAAGAATTAAGTCACATGAGCAGGCATGGCTGAAGTACAAAGATCTTGTAAGACTTACTAAGAAGGTTTTAGTTTATCCATGAACCACTTACTTCCAAATGCTAAATGAGGTTTTAGAATTTTCCTTAATTCATGGTAAGGTAAGAAAAACAAGATTTTTATACAACTAAATTAATTTGTGAGAGTTTGAGCTCTAATGAGTCAATCGGTTCTTGCTATCCATGTATTATGAGGTTTTAACATATTTTACATGCTTTTACTTGGCTACCCCCCAAAAATGTGTTTTTAGTTCACAAACAAAATGGTCTACATCCTACTTTAGTAAGTACTAACTGTGGTCTTAAAAGTTCATGAACAGCAATTTAAGGTGCAATTATTGATCTTTTCCTCTCTATAGACACAGACACATGGAAAAAATTAGTTCCTTGGCCTAATAGACCATGTGAACATCAATCACTAAGACCCTAAGAGCTGAAGAACTAGATGGTGCCTGGTTACCACTACTCACTATTCTGAGAGAGAGCACATTAGAAGGTCCTGGATAAAATGGGAGGGAAATATACAACAACATTCAAAATCATAAAAAAAAGGCCAGGCTTACTGGTCAGATGGAGACTGGTGGAAGCCTGGAGATTATGGCCATTAGTTACCTTTCAATTATGTATGTGATCTTACCCCAGTGGATCAATTTTCAGCCAAATAATAGACAGGTCTTTAAGGGAAACAATAACACTAGGCAGGTAAGCACATCTTAGAGCAATCAACCACTTGAGATCAAAAGGACAGCTATTACGCACAAAGTTCAGATGCATTAGGGAAGAAGGAGGAATGAAAACAGGAAACACAAGAGGTTGTATGGTAAGTGATGCTTCATTGTGGGGATTGCAATCAATGAACTGAAAAAAAAATGCATGTGAAATGTTTAATGGAAAACTGATCTGCACTGTAAACCTTCACCCAATTCACAACTTTAAAAAAAAATTAATAAGTACCATAAAATGTGTTTTGACATCT